TCATGCCATCTTCAACGCCATCTTCTTGTCAAACAACTTGGTAGCTGTCTATGAATCGATTCAGATGTTTATCTAGACCTACCATTTATTTCTGGTCAGCGTGTCTTTGTCTTGACATGATTCCCTGCTTTGATAGCTGATCACCTTGACGGCGTGTAGTGGGGGGGGGCAAGGAGGGAGATATTTCTTTGAGCTAGAAAGACTATTAATTTAGATTTTAATGAGCGCAAGTAATTTTTCAAAAAATATGTATTTGTTGCATAAAAATGTTTCAGTGACTTAAACGGAATACCGACGTTTCAAACAACATTATTAATATTACCTTCAGCACCGCCTTGTTTTGTTAAACCCGTTTCTTTTCAGACTATACACAGTCTGTGACGAAGAAACGCAGCTCCAAACCGTTCGACAAGATGGCATGCATCGACCAAAACTGTACAGTCATAGACACCAGCTGGTCGGCCATCAAAATAGGACTTTACTCTAAGCACGTCAAACGGTGGTTACGGTACTTTCCCCTGCAGCAAATACACATAGTGTCAGGCGAGAGGCTGATCACCGACCCGCTTGAGGAAATACGACAGGTAGAACGTTTTCTGGAACTGCGTCCTTTCGTTCGGCAGGATCACTTCTTCTACAACTCCTCCAAAGGCTTTCCGTGCATCATGAAACCGAACCATTCCACTTACCATTGCCTCGGCAAGAACAAGGGACGAACTCACCTTCCCGTCAGTGAAATCACCATGAACAGGCTCAAAGCGTTCTACGCACCGTTCAACAAAAGATTTTACGACATTGTCGGCAGAACGTTTGACTGGTGACCTGGTGACCGCACAAGCAGCCGTCGCAGGAACGCCCTCTCTTTTCAATGTGCCAAAGTGTTTTGTCTTATTTTATTTTATTGTTGTTATGATTATGGTTTTTACTGTGAAATTACAGTGTGCATGGTCAGTGTAAAGTGCAATACATAAATATGTTCACTTGTGCGAAACTGACAGTAAAATGTCTTTCACCGGATTTTACTGGATTTCAGCTTTATTTCAGCCAAACTCGGAGATACGGCCCCGCCTCTGATACGCCGCGGACTTGATCTGCTCAAATGGATCCCATAGGCGACTAGAAGCAAGAAATCTTGTGTTTCCACCATGTGAAACCGGTAGCAATAATTGAAATGTAATATTTATCTGCGGAATTGGAAAGCTGTCATTCAAGTCATCATCGGGGTTATAACTTATTTTACTTTGTTCATAATTTTCATCTTCCATGATAATGGGCAGACGGGGGCAGACGTTATAAAGGTATCGAGTTGTCTGCCTTATCCGTTCAGAACGGGTAGCGACTCCGTTGCTGACTGGTATCTTCGTCGTCGTTGCGTCGGTCTTCGTCA